GCGGCGGAGTCGGGCCCGCTCAGCAAATCCATTATTTATCTCAGAAGAAGACGTGCAGGCATCAGCCGGCAAAGCCGGCTGGTGACTAAATATTCGACATTATGCCGAGGTTACAAGAAGGGAGAACTTGGAGATTACTAGAAGACATACCGCAGAGAATGTTCTCCCTAGTGCGCGAAGCACTCTCCCTTCGACAAAAGATCGTATCCATCCGGCAATCCGTGAAGTTTCTTCAGCGCTGCAGATCGACCGGCGTGCTTCCTCGCTTCATTTTAAATAAGAAGATCGGCGCATGTTGTGGTTTGCCAGAAAATGATCCCTTGATAATGAATGTTACCGTTCTATTCTAGGGACTGCTATTAAGAGGAAACAATATGTACTGTATTCTTGTATTGCGAAGTGTAATGCAAAAGATGAAGCATGCCGACGTCTTCTACAGGAAAGAATTTGGATTAGGATTGTGGGTGGGTCCAGGGAGATTTGTGACATTGTTCGATCTAGAGCAAAAGCCACTCTTTGTGCGAAATACGACCGACTTTTGCGAACGCTTCAGGAGAACTCCAGTAGTGAAAGTGATAACGATTCTACCGACCACCGCTTTACTAACGATAATGCTCAAAATGACGATCGAACGGCAAGAGTCACTGTTCTAGGCGGCGCTCAGCTTTTTGCTAATGCCTTGAGTTTCCTCAGTCTCGGACCACCGTTTGCACCAGCTCGGAACACCAACGCAATCACTTCCCGTAAGGTTGTGGGTGGATTGCAGCGGTTGAGAGATCTACTGAGGTACAAGAGCAGGCGAGATAACAACATGCAGACTTTCTTGGCTCCTAATCAGAGACTGCTACCTACTGCCACCATTCCCACGTACTATCTATAAAGATCCCGGCCCAGTAGTCGAGATGATGTGAAGTTCAGAATCTTAGCATCAGGTGTACTGAGCACACTCAATCGATGCAGACGGCTTCACCATAGCAATATGTCTTATGAACAATGGCGAGGGTTCAGAGAAGTACGTGAGCTGAGATCGAACGGTACAATACGTGTCTCTGTTATCGACAAAGGTGGCGAGTTCGTCGTAATCCCACAGTCATTAGACCGTGAAATGACCGAACTCCATCTGCAGGATTCATCCGTTTATCATCGCGCCACCGTTAAGACTTTATGAGCCAATGTAGACGCCTCAATCGTGTGTGGATGACAGTGGGAAGATCTGCCGGAATTGATGGAAGTTTTTGACTAGGCTCAGACTTGACAAGCTTGCTTGTCCAGTCTTTTACAGCCTGTTTAGAATCCACAAACTCGCTCCTAACGATATGTTGTCAATGTCACCGGACACATATAAAATAAGACCTATTATAAGCTGCGTTGGTGGACCAACCGACCGGATATCATGGTACCTCAGCACAATAGTGAGCCAGTTGCTGACCAAGATCCCCACTCACCTGACCAACACGAACCAGTCCCTTCACCAGCTACACAGTTCGAATTTCGGGACTGATTGTGTAGTAGAGTCGTTTGATGTCACTGCACTTTACATGAACGTCCAAAACGAACAAGCACTGCAGGCATTGTCAGAGAAGCTGGATATGCATGTTGCCGCTATTAACACCTTTGGACTGAATAAAGTGCACATCATGACTCTGGTTGAGGAATGCTTACGCTGCAATATCTTCAAATCGTCAGGACGCTATTACTCTCAAGTCAGAAGCTTGGCAATGGGTAAGCGACTAGCACCAGTACTCGCGATCTGCTTTATGAGCAGAATTGGAGAACCAGTACTGGGTCGCTTTTTTTGATGTACTGCAGGTGACTGCTCTATTATAACATCAACTCAATCCGAAATGGATGAGTGCATCCGATTACTAAATGAGCAGTTTTCACTTATGTGACACGATGAAACTCTAGTGAGACTCATTCGCCCTTACTTGCACTACTGACACATAGCGTGAGCTAGGCTCCGCATGGTGGAACCTTGGTGAGTTGAGCGCAGTCATTACTGGGTTCTTCGACGGTGTTCGGGACGCGACGTCGGAAACGCTAGAGTGGGGAAGGCGCTTGATCGGGTAGGTGACAAATTGAAAGCTTCGAGCCATTTTCAGGCCTCTGAAGAAGACGAGAAGGTCGAAACGTCGGGCCAATAAAAAGGTTCTATCTAACCTCGTTTGGCAGAAATAACTAAATATTCGACATTATGCCGAGGTTGCAAGAAGGGAGAACTTGGAGATTACTAGAATCATATTTGCCTTTATTCGCTATTTTCGAAGCCTTATCAAAGAGTGCCTTCAAAGCTATGCACGCTCGAAGTTACAATAAAAATGGAGCCCATTAAGATGGTCGAAACCGCCTAATCTTGTCGAATTCTTTTTACTCAGTTTTTGACCTACCCAGATACGCATAGCAAAAATGAAACCCATTTTTGTGATCCTTGTATGGAGCCCAACAATAAGCAACAAAGCATTTCCAAAAAGGGCGCCACGACCTGAAAGACCTTCCTTGTAAGATAAACGTGGTATAACAGTGATGACGACAGTAGTACATTGCTGCGGAATCAAAATCTTTAAATAGTAAATCAAGTTTTTTTAGTAGCATTCTTCAGCCTTTAGCCTATCGAACGCTTCCTGTTGTAATTGAGTGTGGGTGGGCAGGACATAAAAACACACGACCTATATCCGACGATGCCACTTGCGAGCTACCCTTCATATGGAGCTGGCTGAATTTTTAGTCACCTCTCTAAAGAAGTTGATGATCTCACTGGTTCATGCACTAGGGTAACCACTCTTGCGCTGAAGGATGGCCGACTGCACTTTCAAAACTATGGCAATCGCTGGCAACGGCTCTGCAATACACAGCTTCCATGATATCCTTGAGCAAAATGCATGTAGCGCCTTGGGCCACCTCAGCAAGAAAGGATCCACGGTGACAATGTGTCTTACATGATAGTAAATCAATTCAATCTTGACATATCACTACAGTTTGTAAAAATTCGAAGTTTCCTTCACGAAAAGGTTTTCACTTCTGCAACCACTCACCCAGTTCTGGCAAAATTTGCCCAATAGCGCATAAACCTGCTGCTGAGCTCCTGCTCTTCAGTAGAGTAGTTGAATTTCTTATTAAAAGGTTCGCCGAAAATGAAATTGATTTCATAACCGTGCAAGCAACCCATCCACTCCGGCCACGTTTGCGCAGTCGCCCTGCAAAGTTGTCACCTTCAACAAATAAAAACTTGAAGCAGGGAGAATCAGCTGATTCATCCCATCATTTGCAGTGAGGCATACACTCTTGCACATGCCTTGAGGCGGTGATCCCAAATTTGGTACCAGAAAGGAATAAGCGAAAGCAGTCTCAGTGTAGTGGGAATGCGCGTTGCTTAGGCGAGAGCGCACGGGTTCCGCTCTCATATGCAATTGTGTCTTTTCTTAAGCTTAGTGCGAATTTGGAAAGAGCATCTCTTGTTCGTCGAAATGCAATATTTTGCGTTGGAAAAAGCAAACACTATAGCTCCGACCCGTAAGTTCTCTTTGCAAATACATCGAATGCCAATAGTATACGAACACATGTATCATCCTTCCACAACATGATCGCAGCAACATATCCTTGCACAGCCAGCGCGGGAACAGAGTGACATTGATTACAATCACAGTGTGCAATCCTTGCAGGAGAGGTAGTACCACAATTCTGTTTCAAAGTGACAGGGAGTAAGATATCTCGCTGCATAATGTATGTTCCGTTGTGGTTTCCGAGACTATGGGCAAGCATTCACTTTCTATATTTTGAGTTGTATGAATGTTTCACGACAACAAAGAGTTTCTCCCCCGTTATTTATCCGTACTGCACGCCTTTTTAAGAACACCACACACCCCATCTTTTCAGAGGTGTGTGGTATTCTTGAAAGATCACACACCTCCGGAAATCTACTTCACACCTATCATGCCTCTTGGGGAGACTTGCCTGTGGGGTCGCCTAACTTAATTGCTCTCTCGCTCGCTCCTGACCTTCCCTCTACTTGACGATTACATCGTAATAACTGATTATTTATTGCTGATCCTTTAGCAAATTTTAAAGACTAAGAAGTATCAGGTTGACCCATAAGTAATGGCGTTTTTTTTGTCACACAAATTTTAATGGAAAACGACAAATGTTGCCACTGTGTTCTACACTGTGTTATAGATAATTTTCCGCATTAGATAGTGTAATTCCCTTTTTACTATTTCCCGACTTATTGCTAGTATTTTTACATTACTAGTATTTATACAGTAATATGTCAATTTTCATTTCATTGAAAGGGAATTCGGGTCGACCCAATAGTGAGTTTTCGACAACCACTTTTTTAATTTTATCTAGGCTATCAATCTATAGAAAAGGTCCAAACCTTGCGATATATATGACCAAAGAAAGATGCGTCTTATGACAGCTTGAAGTTGGTTCAAGCGATCAATAGCTGAGAATTCGGACCTTGTAAAGAGCATTGCGTAGGGAGCTCTTGGGGAATGACTGCCTGCAGAACCTACCTACTTACTTTCGAATGTCTAACATCAATTGAGGGTGGTGGTTGATAATGACGAGGAAGCATTCTATGACCTATAGCGATCCCTCAATCTTTGGCATGGTTCTCAGTTAATAAGGTAATTCCGTAAGCTGTCAGTTGGACAAAATAGGGCATTAGGTCCGATGCTTGTCTGTGAGGTCGAAACTGAAATCTTCGAATCACTCACAGTATTTCGTTACTAAGAGATATAGCCTTCCAGCCATATACTCATAGCTAGGCCCATGCGGTTTAATGGAAGAGAAAGGAAGAATTAATGAAAGAGGGGCTGTCGAAAGTGCTCAACTTCGTCGACCTGACACTCCAGTTTAAGCACTCAAATATAAGCGTAAAGAGAAAACTGAGGAAAACTAAGGAGGCCATTGTTTAGGCAAGGATTCCTCTGTAAAACGGAATGAAACTCAATGGCAAAACTTTTCTTCTTCAGCGCGATGCGATATTTCGGAGGGGGGGGGGGGGAAACGCCGATTACTTACAGGCCGACGCAATACAATGCGAAAAACCTGAATAACATAACACTCAAAGGTGAAAAGCATGTCAAAATGAAACACACAAATAAAGCATAGATGGTAGTGTTAGTAACAAATCTAGACATTTTTCAGCAGCATTTCAGTGTTTAGATCAGTTGGGATACCTTTCGTGGTGAAAACAATAGGAATTTTATCCAGTACATGCCCTTCTCTCCCATTTAAATTGTGGCAATTGATGTGTACGTCTGCATTTCAGTTGCTGTTACTGGTTGAGTGTGCTCTTGAATTTCAAATTCATCGAAGCATCTTCTTATCTGACATTTCCTACTTTTACTTTTATTTTTGCCATCTACTTTCCATGTTGAGTTTGGCTCAATTGTGTCTGTCAACGAGAGGTCAGGGTAAGCGAAAGAACAACTGAGTCAGGCGACCCCACAAGCAAGTCTCCCCAAGAGGCATGATAGGTGTGAAGTGAGATCTTTAAGGAAGTCCTACGCCTCATTTCCAGCTTTGTCTACTTATAATTGCCCACCGGCCAGCGCCGGCATTTGAGCACCCACCTAACATCCGGCTTTTCTTTTATCTGGACAGATGGTCAACATTCTTTGACCATACCATAGTATCATACCTGCTATTTTCAACACTATTTGTATGGAATGGTGGTGAGGAGCCTCGATCAATTGGAAAGATGTGAGAAAAGCCGGGTGTTAGTCGGGTATTTGATGACACGAAAGCAGGTAGGCACGATGGAGACACGCCCCGCAGGGCCAGACCGTATCATAGAGGTTTGGAGTGCTTTGAACCGCTTTAGGAATTTCCAAGACTGACTTCTCCCGCCTCGCCGCGCGCTCTGCTCATAGCGGGTGTGCCTCACACTTGTCGATCGATTACCCCTCGCTGATCTTAGGCTACTTTTTCCCGGCGTCTGGAGTGTTCTCGAACCGTTTTATGAGTTTCGTTACATCTGCCTCCGCCCACCCCGGTGCACGCTCCGCCCGCGACGGGAGTGCTTCGCACTTCTCAACATGTGATCACTTGGAGGCCACTTTTTTATGCCGTTTGTAGCGCTCTAGAACCAGACTACGATTTCATTCAAACTGGTACCTCGTGTTAAAAGGCATGTTCCGCCCAGGCCCAAACATGGTGAACTCTTGCCAGATGTTCATCATCGTCATGGACTTTTCTGCTATCTCCCACCTTTTTCGGGAACCGAGTATCGACCTTTGTGGGAACCACGGCCCACCACAAGTATTTCTGATGTGTCTCCTCTTTTTGGTCTGTCAGCCCTTTGTCAACTTTATTGCACTGTTCCTCCATCTCGGGACTGCTCTGGGACCGAGTTATGATTTTTTTCAGTGAGATCGCCAAATTTCGGCGCACGCTCCGCCCACCGTGGGAGGGGCTACTGTGGATTATATTTGGCCTAGCCGATTATATTTGGTAGGATAATGTCTGATCATGTTGGTGGGTATTTTTGGTGCACATGCTGGCAAACCAAACTTCTGTCCAGCGCTGCTCCCCGTCTAATCCGGTAGGTGCACCTGAGATTGACTAAATACGGGGAGTTTGGCATTGCTCAGCTATCAGAACAATAAGGCTAATTTTTCTGTACAAACTTTTTCTATAAAGATTACTTGGTGCACTGTTTTCCACATTGATTTCTGACACTGGAGCCAGTTTGGGGCACAACCACTCTCACCAAAGACCATCCAGTGAAAAAGGTAACAGGCTTACCTTCCAGGATCATACGAAGTTGTCGAAAAAAGCGAAAACGCATTCGCGTCAGGACCCCATACCATGTCCTCCCGCTTACAAGTGACGTGCATGCTCACTGCACCATAGGCTGCTTTCATTCCTCTCTTCTCTGCTGTGATTGTGCGAATACAGGAGTCAAGGATACGACATTGGATGGAAACTTAGTGATATTTGAGGAAATCCCTCTGCAGCTTCTGCAAATAGATTCGAGGTCAACGCTTCAAGGCGAGTATAACAGTACTCGGTGCATTTCACAGCTATAAGGTAAGTGCATTGCCTGCGACAAAGCGGCAAACGGTGATTTTCTTAGCATGACTGAATGATTTCGCATGGAAATAAGCTCGGTACCCGAATTATTGTATCATTGACAATTACTAGCATTTTAAGTTTTATTTGTTATATTTTTTCGGTATTTTGCATGGTCATCCAATCATAAGATCACCCCAAAAATGCATTTCTACAACGCACGAGAGCCAAAACCAGGGAACAACTTATAGGGTTTTCTTGTGGAATCCTATGAGTTGTTCCCTGTTACAAGTACACTACTACACTTCCTAGTCGATATGTCTCATCCGCTGTCTCTCTAAGCATAGAGCCATAGAGGATAATACCATGAAGAACACTTTTGGCTGTTAATTTATTCTTTTATTGCTTTGAGGAGCGCAAGACTGTACGGCTTCTTCACAAAAGACTGCACGCCAACGAATGGGTATGCCCTGAAAAGTGGTTTTATTCTCAAAATGACATGGCTGGTCCAAAAACCTTGATTGTGCGCCAAGATGAGTGTATTTGGAAAATGGTTCATCGCGAAGCGAGGTTGACGTGGCAATCTTGTCGTAAGTGATGATGGCCAAAATATTTACTCATCACTCACATACAGTGTTGAACGACGATCGGTCCGAAAGTGCTGCTTTCACGCTGCTGGAAGTTTTCATCTTGTGTCACATTTCATAAGCAATAGCGAGGAAGGATCAGAAAGCCATTGCGCTCATTGGCTTCACCACATTGCGTCACGACGTTAACAAGCACAAATGTTACACAAAAATGCTTTAGAGTGACCACTTCCGAAGAAATCAAAGAGCACACAAACATCAGGGATAACGTCATCGACAGTGCATTTGTGAGACCTACGACGTGACCAATCGGCCACGCTTTTTCACTCTCTTACGGACTCTCTTACGCCACTAATTCGTACCGAATGTGAGTATGCTCTTTTTAGAAAAGTCTCCGAACTTTGTTCTGGGAGGTACGCTGCAGATATGGGTAGCGATTTCATAATTCCCCTTCAACGACCTCTTAGTCGGCATACATCTCATTTCAAATAGCCAATTCGACCTACCATCCTTCCCTTGTTAGCAGTCCATGGTGCTGAAGTTGATCTTTACTAAGCAAATTAGAAGACAATTTTAAACCAATCATCAGACATTTATAAATAACCTCAGTGCATCCAGTTCTTCCCTTTGTCAACTTTACTGCACTGCAGGTTGAGTTCTACAACCTCCGTGTCTGTTCCCATGTAGGATTTTTTCTCAACGGTAGAAGAATCCCGAGGGCTGTTCCCAGTGTTCCCAGTTATTTGATTTAGACTTTCACTGAACTGAACGTGTAGGAAAATACAAAGCGGACAGCTGTAAGAAGAACGAGCGACATCAGAAGGCGAGCAGTGAGGGAGGAAGGTTTACGAACCCCCGTTTTCACTAATCACTCTTTCATCACAAAAGGCTGAACCTAATAAGATACTGGATAGAAGTATTCTACATCACAATCGCTGGATAGGTGTAGCAGCCATATAGTACCATTGGGTTGTGTTTCAAACGATAAAAAGATAAGCTTTAGTGGCGCTTTGATGGACACCAATACCTCCGGGTTGATTCGTTAGAGCCGTCTTCAACCCTGAAGCGGTTTGTTTGAGCAAACATCGTGGTCTGGGGTGCACTCCGTGATGTTGCCGCGCTGAAAAGTGCCTTCTGGACCTCCAGTTTGCACCAAATGAACTATTTCCAAATAACTTCGACGAAAAAGGGTTCGAGAATAGCAGTGTTCAAATGTCCAAAGAAACTAGAAATGAAGCTGCGCCGGAGATGTGTATTTCTCGCGCAGTCTCAAGCTTTTTATAACAAAATTTCAACTGGGGGATTCATCTATATGGTGGGCATGAGGAGAAAGCGGTGAGCTCCATCAGAAAAGGAAGTCGATCACTACTTTCTCATGCCGAACAAGTGTACGCTGGAATGCTTTATTACCCCTGACGTTCCGACAATCTCGTCGTTTTCAAAGGCCTGAAAGCATACCGAAACTAGTGAAATACTATCTATCCTATTCAACACGGACCCATCGTTGAATAGGGGCAGCTCACAAGGAAAGGATGTTCGGTCGAAGTGGCCGTTCGAGATGAGATGTATACCATCTGATGCGTTTCTGGTAGCTGATTACAAATCTGCATTCCGTATCTGCTCTACGATCCTCTGAGCAGAGTTGTGCAGGTTTTTAACCTGGTCACCCCTATTTTCATCATGTAAGGAACAAGAAGACTGTGACGCTGAGAGCGACTGTGACGCTAGAGAGGACGAAGGTGTGCAGGAACCCGTAGCGCACGACGTCCAAACAGTGGGATAACCATGGGCTATACACCACTTAAGGCCGGTGGCACTATCCTCGACTAGAATCCTAGTGGGTGTTGGCATATTTCCGCTGAATTTCAAACTTCATTGGTAACTGACGGTCGTGATCTGACAATCACTTTTGGTGGCCTGGTGCCAGTTTGGCGACACAGCATAGCGCAACGAATGATGGCACCGGGACGGAACGAAAAAGAATGACGGCATTTAGAAGTGTCCCTCAAAACTCTTCCAGAATGAATCCATTCCTTTAGAAGTAACGTAATTCGGCAAGATTAGGTCCCTACGGTCCCCAGTAATTCGGCAAGATAAGGTCTACGTAAGGATGGTTTTAAGAACTGCAGGGAATATGTTCAAAAAATGCAAAACAATCCTCTAGCCAAGGATGAGAACCATTGACCCCCAAACATGAGACCGATCGCTTATCCACTAGGCCATCGCAACACGTATGTTGGTCAATCACGCATCGTTTTTATACTTGTTGAGTACTGGGAGGGTTGAACCGTACAGCCCTGGTGGTGAGCCCTCCAAACCTCCATAAATTTGTTCGGAGAATCGTTTAGCAGATTTGGAAAGCAGATTCGAAATCACTGTCCAAAGACGTGTTGGTCGGTATACATCTCATTTCGACCTACCATCCTTTCCTGGTCAGACCAAGGGACTGCAGACTGCAGACTTGTAGAGTCGTTCGACGTGTCTGCGCTCTACACCAACGTCAGCAACAACGAAGCTCCAAATCAGTCTCAGAATTGCTTGACGAGCATGTAAGAAGTATGATAACGTTTGCATTGAGCAAGACGCAAATGATGGTCCTCACTAGAGAGTGAACTGCAATATACCATGTTCACTCACTGCAATATACCATGTTCACTTCAACTTTTCACGACTTCTCAAACCAAGCACGACTTTTCGAACAAAATTGACGACCTTTCAAACCAAATTCAAGACTTCTCAATATGACTTTGAGACTTGCTCGAACATGCTACACTAGGGATTACCGCAGGACCTTCCCGACAGCCACGCCGACTTTTGAAAAATGCCCCATTTCAGCAGGTCAGAGCCTCTGCTTTTAGGTGAGAGGGTAATCGTCACTAAAAAAGAAAAGAAAGCAGGCAAGAAACAAAAGTTGCCTAAGTTTTGCTTTTTGTTGTTGACCCTCTCACCTGCAAGGGGAAGCTCTGACCTGCTGACTCGGAGCATTTTCAAAAGAGGGTGAAGGTTCCAATAGTGGGTGGGGCTTCCTGTAGCAGTTAAAAATGTGAAACTTTCAAAGAAATATCATAATTCCGCAAAAACAAGTAGAAGTATGCGTGGTCAGAGTGGCGGATCTCAATGTGAGAGTGAAGAAATACACGTCTATGAGTACCCTCGTTGTGTAAAGAGTGGATGTGAAATTAAGGAGGTTGAAAAAAGGTGTGAAAATTCGAAATTTGTGGGTGTGGGCGCTAAAGTGGGTAGAGTTTCCCATGTGCCAATATACAGTCCTTCTCAGTTAGTGTGTACATATAGGCGTTGTAACAACAGTACAGAGAAAGTCACGGAAGCAGAGGCTATGAAATAAAATTTCAAAAATCACCTCCTTGCTTGAAATGTGATAGCGGTTGCTGGGGAGGATTTGTAGTAGTGCTTAGTGTGGCATGTTCAAAAATGTTTGAAGTTTGGAAAGTCTTGAATTTAGTTCAGAAAGTGGTGAATTTGGTTTGAAAAGTCGTGAATTTGAAGCGAAAATGGTGTATGTCCAGGTTGTACGGGAGGTACTTCTGACAGGCTAGAGGACTTGCAATGGGGCAGCGGGCTAGCACCGGTTCTCGCTGTCTGCTTTATGAGCAGAATCGCGCGCCGAGTGCTGTCTCGCTTACCCAGTCTGTACTGCCGCTACATCGATGACTGTTGCGTTACATCAGCTCAGTCAGAAATGGACGAGTTATCCGATATCCTCAACAGTCAAACGCAGTACATCTGGTTAACTCAAGAAGTTCCGAGCGAAGGTTGTCTACCATACCTGAACACTCAGATAAACTTATCAAATGACAGTTTGATGTGAAGTGGTAGAGGTATAGGAGAGAGAGCTCCAAGGACATCATTATCCACGCAATGTCGGCACGAAACATGTACAAAACTGCCATAGGGCTTGCACCGGCAGCGAGCAATTTAGGAGATTAGCCACCCAAATAGCTAAGCTTAGGTTACATAGCCTGGCAACAGCAGCGCACGCGAAGGACACCGAGAAGTTTTTCACACAGAGCTGAAATAAAATACATCTCCAGCTACGTTCATGTCGGACCACTTTACCGCAGTTATGCAACAGCGCCTCCGTAGGGCAGATCTGGCCAACAACCCAACGACGTTTTTTGGTAAAGACATCAAAAGGCAATATCAAACACCGGTTGGTCAGAAATCTCCTCTATGACCGACACTGCACCATGGAAAACTGCGTGATCTGTCCGTATGGGAAAGTCTGTGACTGTGCACAGTGGGCT